TTTTTCCGTTTGCGATCCATATAAACCATTTGATGAAAATTTCGAAACTCTGAAAGTTTATTTTAAAAAAAAAAATGTTTTTGAAATTAATCGAACCGAACCATTTGATGAAAATTTTAAAACTCTGAAAGTTTATTTTAAAAAATAATGTTTCTGAAATTAATCGAACTGATCGCCGTGAACTTCGTCGTTGATTTCACTTTGTTGCCGGTAATTCCTGTGCGCGAGCAGTACAGAGTTTTTTTTTTCTCTTTCTCGCAGTAACATTTTTCGCAGATCAAATTCGATTTTCCTTTTAAAATATTCGCAACCAGTAAGTTGGTCTAGTGGCGTGCTGCGCTCTCTCGCGTGAGTGAGGTCCTTGGTTCGAACCTGCCTCTTGTCTATTTTTTAAAAAAAAATCCCAGCGCCCATCCTGTTGCCAGCAGTAGAAAACGCGCAGGCTGTCTAGCCCGCATTAGGCCCGCGCTCAGCCCGCCTTCCAGTCAGTAGCAGAAGCCCGAAGTCAGCCCGCGCCCGGCCCATTCTGTGTCTGCCTCTCTGGCCCGCGAACCCGGTGAAGCCTGCGCCCTTGTTCCCTTAGCAGGCCCAAAATTTCAGCCTTTTTCCTTGTTCAATTGCGGCCCATTTCACGTGTCTAGGCCCATTTCCGCGTCAGATTAATTGTAGCGCGGCCCAGCTCGTCTTTTTGGCCCTTTTTGAGTTCCGGAAGCCTGTTTTTAATACCGATTTTAATTTTAAAAATATTTTCAAAATGAGAAAAATTTGGTAAAAATTATTTTATGTCCCGAGACTTTATTTTAGTCCTTCGAGTCATTTCTTTTAAAAATGTGAGAGTTCCAAGTTCACGAAAAATTCCGATAAAATCCCTTAATCATTATTTTTATTAAGTGTGAGTCTTTAATGTTTTTAAAAATCAAGATAACGTATTTATGAGATTATCTTGATTAAATGTATGTGTTTGAGGAGTCGAGCCCTCGACCTACCGACTGTTTGTGTGCTTTTTCTACCGACTTACCAGGTGGGTCTTATTTGAAAATTCTATGCATTAATTAATTGTTATTGTTGTGGTATGATCAAAGTATGCATGTGAACAATGTAGCCTTCTATGTGAGCCATATTTGCCGTCGAACGGTTATCCCCATAGCTATAGAACGTACCCGATGGGGTGTCTCCTTTATTTATGTATGGCAGTCAGGGCGTGAGCCTTAGCTGGTGATCCTCGATGTAAGTCCGAAGGGATGTCTTCGGGCATTCGGGGTGGATTTACTCCCACTGTCTGGGCATCAAATGTAAGGCCCTCGGGGGATTTCGATACGTGTATCAGCAGTGGTCTATTGGTATAGGTGTGCACATGAGAGTTGACTCTGGGAAGGAGATGGGATATTAATTGATTTGTGTTCATACTGCGACCATACCTGCTTTATTTTATAAATTTGAATATTAATTATTGCATAGCGGTGAGCACCTCGATTTTCTTATTGTGCTCATCCCCACCTGCTCTTCATGGATGCAGGTTAGTAGTTCGCGGGCACGACAGAGGGAGGCGAGTGGTGGTCATATTACTAATTATTTCCGCTGCATAAACTGCTTAGTATTATTTATGCATTTCTGATTTACGTTGGATTTTGGATTATTGATAGGGAGTGTACTCCCTAGTATTTATGAATTTGATGAACTCAGTTTTGGGAGTTAATGTTATTTATGAACCCGGTTTGGGTATTGGTATGAATATTGAACTCGGTTTGGGTGTTGACATGAATATTGAACCCGGTTTGGGTGTTGACATGAATATTGAACCCGGTTTGGGTGTTGCATTTCTTATAATGTTGAAATTGTTTTTGGATTTGGAAATGAGTAGCGCCTCAAGTGTTTTGAAATAAATTTTGAAAAATTTATTCTGATTTTTGGCAAATAAAAGTGGGGCGTTACAGCGCCCACCCCTACTGACCGCTCAATTAGTTGTCGTGTGAAAAGAGCAAATGAGACGGCCGACACTTGTAGTCGGAAGAGTCAAAATGAGCTAGTCTATATAATTACTCAGCAAGGTCTGCTGATTCGAGAGTTGCTCGGTTAGAGATCAAAGTAGTGGAGTCGTCGTCTATAGCTAGTGATGTCGAGCACCACTAGTCGTGAGACTGACTATGCAAAGGAAGATCGTTACCGAATACCCAATCGATACTTCCTAAACTGCACGCGAGGGTTGCTCGTGTGGGCAAAGTAGGAGGTTTTGCTCGAGACCACAAGCAACCCCCATGATTCGAAAAGGGTGCCAGATCTGCAAAAATAATAACTGATATGTGTTGTGATGCTCCCTGGGATGCTTCGGCGAAATATCATCCCATGAGCCATCAACAGAAAAGGCAAACGTACTGATTTGAGGTTTGCCAATCTGTGCAAAAATACACCCAAGACGCAAACACGCACGCCCGCCAGCGAAATCCAGCGACCTCGTTGACCCGCACGCGTGTCTCGCGGCATGCCAGTCTGCGATTGACAGAACTGTTCACACGATTCTCTACATATTCGTCGCCTATATGTCACTTAAGTTTATGCACTTCCTCAATTAACTTCGCCTGTAGTTCGCATATTTTATGATATAATGGTATAACACTTGCCCAATTATATTTGCCTTCCTGCCGCGTAGTTTATCGTATAAATATTTCAAACTTCCTTAATTAAATTCGCCTCTCATAGCATAGTAGTTTATCACATAGTTAGATCACACTTGCTTGATTATCTTTTCCTGTCTATCGCATAGTTTACCACATGATTATTTCGCAATTTATCAATTAACTTCTCATATCTGTCGTGTAGTTATAGCATAATGACATCGCACTAGCTCGATTATCTTCGCATGGCTGTCACATAGTGTATTGCATAATTATTTCACATTTTATCAATTAACTTTGTTTGTCTTTTGTATAGTATATTGCATAATGACATTTCACTAGCTCGATTATCTTCGCATGTCTGTCATGTAATTTATCGCATAATGAGATCTCACTTGCTCGATGAACTTCGCATGTCTGTTGCATAGTTGATCGCATAAGTAATCGCATTTGCTCAATTAACTTTGCCTGTGTGTTGTATACTTTATCACATATTTTGTTTTGCACTTGCTCAATGAACTTCGCTTGTCAGTCACATAGTTTTTTTTTTTTTTTTTTTTTTTTTTTTTTTTTTTTTTATCGTTTGTCTGTCACATAATTGATCACATAAGTAATTCGCAGTTGCTCAATTAACTCCGCCTGTATGTTGCATCTTTTATCGCATAATTAGTTTCACACTTTACTCATTGAACTTCGCTTGTGTGTCGCATATGATATCGTATAAATATTTTGTCAGTTCCTAAATTATCTTCTTCTATTTGTCGCATAGTTTATTGTATAATATTTTCGCACTTTCTCAATTATCTTCGCTTGTCTGTCACATAGTTTATCGCATAACTATTTCGCACTTTATCAATTATGTAGTTTGCCTGTCACATACCTTATTGCATTACTATTTTGCACTTTATCAATTATCTTAATGTATCGCATAGTTTATTGCATAACTTTTCTCACTTTATCAATTACGTTCATATGTCTTTCGCATACCTTACCGCATAACTATTTCAAGCTTTATAAATTATCTTCGTCTGTTTGTCGCATAGCTTATTGCATAATTTATTTCGCACTTTCCATCTAATAAATAAATAAGTCGAAAAAACATATAAGTGCGATAAAATTAAGCGTATAAAAATACGCTTATAAATATATAAAATACACACTTTTTCCGACCAATCACAAAGCCTGAGGCTCCATTGGCTTCCAGTCTCTCTTCGGTCTAGGGGCTTTTGGGGAGAGCATATCAGGGCTTAGGTTTCGTCTAGTCGCCAGTTTGCGTAGTCGTTCGAATTTCACATGTTGATACCTTTTCGTCTTTGGATCCGTAGACTAGCGTGTGTGCTTAGGATAAGTAGCAGTTGTCAGAGGCCTCTAAAAGTATGGGAGGTTGTACTTTACTTTTGTTTGCAGGTGTAAGTGTGTTGTTTTTTATTTTCTTTTTGTATTTTTGTTAAGTCTCGACTGTGTCCGAGTTCTAGTCTCCTGTGTTGGGAGTTTGTTGTCTCCTTTTTTGGAAGTGTTTTGGGTGTAGGTTGTTCCCTTGGCTGTGTGTGTAAGTTCAAAAAAATATTCGTCTAAGTTTGTCTTGATCTTTGTGATGTCAGTTGACATTCCTGTCGTACTCGTTATCTTGAGTTTTATATACTATTATCGTTTGTTAAAAAAAAAATATCTGTAGGATGAATAGTAGCAAATGATACTCGCATCTTTCTTCATACGTTCAAGACATCTTCAATTAACTTCCCCAAGCAGCCTGAAGGTAATTTTTTTTTTTTTAGCATTAAGTTATAAAAAAATATTAAATTTTACTCTAAACAATAAATTTATCAACTTTGTCGATATTACTTAATTTATAAGAAAAATCCAAACTTCCAAGAAAAATTGGTGCCACATGTAAAGATAAGATAACTCCACTCTGAATTTGAACATGAATTGCCAGTTAATGTTGAATTATCAGCCTCAGTATCTCTTCCAAGTTCCACGAAAAACATTACAAGAATGCATAAGTTTCTTGGTAACACACAAATTGATCTGATAACAGCAACATTTGCATTTATTTACCTGGATCAACTCTGAAGATGATTGATATTTGGAGTGCCCAAGAAACATACATAATGATGTACCACAAGATGAACCAAGTTCAAGTTCTGATTACACCAACTCAAGAGAAGCAAACAATGTAATGAAAAAATAGTTGCAACAATATTACAAAGATGATTTGGAATGCAACAAGACACCAATAACAAACATGTTAATAGCATAACGATTGAAAAAATTCTTCAAAACAATAAATTCCCAACGTGGAATCAAACACCATACTCAAAAGCATATAAAAAGAAACTCATTCATGGACCATGAGTCCCTACAACTTTACCACAATACTATGAGTCCCTACAATAAATCTTCGTATTGCTGAACCCTCTGCCGGAGGATGTCGTTTTCCTCTTCTTTTTCTCGAAGAGAGGCTTCGGCACGTAGGACCCAACGCTGGACTTCGGCTAAGAAGGACGATTTCACGAGCACCTCCAAGGCCTCGTTTTCCTATTTTTTTCATTTTTTTGAAATACAGATGCACGATTGTTTAGTAAACTATGTTGAGCGAAAGAAAAAAAGTAGCTGGACCGAAACCAATCTATAAGGGTGTGATTGGATATGGATTTGATTGGTTTTTTAGTTTGTTTTATAGTTTATTGTGTGTTTTGCTCTATTTTGGCTTTTTATGTGTTTTTCGTATATTTTGTCAGTTTTCTACATTTTTCTTCTTGTTTTGTGTGCAGGTCGGAAGCCCTGTGAGGAATCGATTTAGCTCGAAAACGGGTCAGGAAATCATGGTTGGATAGATGGGTTCCTTAGCTACACATAGGAAAAACCGGAACTTGATTTCGAGTTCGAACGGGACCGATATGTGCGAGTTCGGAAGAGCTCGAATGTAACACCCCGCCTACTATAACTTTGACTCACGAAAAACTGGGTAAAATTTTCGCGAAGGTTTTCAAAATATACTAGTACTGTTTTCGAAAAACGTTTAAAGCTTGTTGTCTTGCGGGATGCTACTTACTGACTTAACTTACTTCTCATTATGATAATTATACACGTACCCAAATCAACATTTAAAATCCGACTAGGGAAAATACGGATGAGGGACAATTAAACGTGCATACACACTAGGTCTGGGTTGGCAGTACAGAAGCGTAAAATAAAGTACAGTATAGTCTGAAATTATTATACAGGCCAACATAACATAAACATAAACAAATGTCCAGCTGACTCGGACACCACCACACAACCATGCTCGGCTCACGCTTCGGACTGCACTCCATCACCTAAAAAGATAATAGTGGGGGCGTGAGTACTAATCCACTGTACTCTGCAAGAACCTACACTGAATATACAGCACGTATAATCAAATATCATAAACTCAGCATATACATAAATAAAACTGTACTGTACTGGTGCGGACTACCGGCAATTGGCCGGTTCTCAGGTGATCACGTTCTGGGGGTCGCCTCCCCAGAAACCCAGGATGACTCTACTGGGAGTCAAACTGTACTGGGCGAGTGACTCTACTGGGAGTCAACATAAACTGGACCACGAACGGTTAAACTGGACCGTTCGGGTAAAATGTATCAACATACATACCTCATAAATGGTACAAGATTATAGGCAATGTAATACCCAGTGCAGGGCCCCCACCTGGTAATACTGAAAATCTGGTAAGTGCTTGAAAAACTGTAGTAGCTGTCGGAGGCTCGACTCTCCTTAAGCTACATAAACATATAAGCAAATAATTGCTAAGTATGATGCTCGAAACGTTTAATTATATGCTAAAATGCTCGGATTTATCTAATCGTTGAGACTGGACTGGCTTGGCTCGGAAAAATACTAAAATTCCAGAAAGAGACTCAGACTGGAAGTCACAAATCAAAACGGACTCGAACTGCCGGTCGAACCGGCCGGTTCGCTGACTGGCCAAACCGCCAGCTCGGCCTAACCGGGCGGTCGGCATGGCCCTGGCACGGCTGGTGCCTCTCGGGTGCTTGTTGAGCACGGCCGAGACTCGACTGAGGCCCTGTCGTGCGGCTGGACATGGACAGGTGCGGCTGGACGCGGGTAGGCACAGACAGAGGCCACACGGGCATTGTCGGGCGTCTCCGAGGTCACTGGGCACTCGGGTGTGCTGCTGGCCACGCACCGAGGCCTACTGGGCTCAACAGACCCGACTTGGGTCGGCACTGCGCATGGCACGCGCTGCCGGGCGCTATGCATGTGGCCTGGCACGTTGGGTGTCGTTGCCACGCGAACTGGGGCTACTCGGGCTACTCCACGTGGGGCAGGAGCGGCTGGCTCGAGACCACGCGTGCATGGGCGCTGTCGGACGCTGTTGGGCACTGTCGGAGGGTGTTGGGCGCTACTGGCGCCGATGCTGGGCACACGGCACGCACTGGGCGCTGTTGCGTGCACGCGGGCTGTGCGCCGCGCCTACCGGGCGCGGGCACTGATTGGGGTTAGCCTCTGCAGGCACTGGGGCCGGGCACTACCGCACTATATGTGCGGCCAGTGACCAAGGCCGGCCTTTGCCGGACCTCCGGCGACTTTTTTCGGTGACATGCATAACATAACATCATGATATGATATAAAAAGTATATTTATCACATAAAATGCTAGGACGACTCGGATCATTTTGCATGTGGCTCGGGAGGGCCTATATGGCACCTACGAGCTCTAACTCATCGAACCAACTAAAAAATCTTAAACTTATGATAATGGCAGAATGTTTATCATTAAAAATGATGACTATAAAGGCTAAGACTTGGGTCATAACTTGCATGCATTGAACTAAGGCTTGGGTGTCCAATTTAACACATTTTCATGAACAATATGGCCGAACAAACAAACTCCAATTAGGCTCAAACTTTTACAGCATCAATGACATGATAAATAAGGGTGATTTATATATAAATTTTGACTTAGGCATGCTTGCTACTAAAAATTTATTTTTAAGGCCATTTAATAAATAAATTCGGAACTTAAGTAAACACATGCATTGGCTCGATTTTTCTTCATGAAAAATCCTAAAATATCATAAAATGGCTATGGTTAAAAGATGGTTCGGGTTAACCTTCACCGAAAATCGAAAATGGCTACTAGGGCTTGAATGGGGCTTGTTCACGGTTTTGAGACTTAAGGCTGACTTGTAGTGGTATTTGGCCGAGCTAATGATTAATAAATTTGGAACTTAAGTTTAAACACATGCATGGCTCGATTTTTCTTCATGAAAAATCCTAAAATATCATAAAATATCTATGGTTAAAAGATGGTTCGGGCTAACCTTCACCGAAAATCGAAAATGGCTACTAGGGCTTGAATGGTGCTTGTTCACGATTTTGAGACTTAAGGCTGACTTGTAGTGGTATTTGGCCGATCTAATGAACTCCACAAGACTTATAAAATTCTAAGAAACACTTAGGAAATGATAAGCCCTGGAAGAATTCACTTGGAACTTGAGATGGCTGAAGCTCTCCTCCTCCGGGGCTGCTCGCGCGCGGCAAGGGGCTGGGGACTTTGGCCTCGGTTTCTCTCCTCTCATATCACTATATGCGAGTGTTTAACTGACCAAAGAGCTCAAAAAAGCTGAAGAATAAGGTCCTAAATAGGCTAAGGGGACGGAGCTTACAAGGTTGGTCAAAGGGAGACCAAATGTAGTGAGATTCCTCCACTTAGGTGCATGGTATTTAGGGCTGGTCTTGGGACATGCTATGCACGGTTTTGGAGAGCATCTTGGTGGAGTTTACAGAGTATTTTAATGTGAAGAAGCAGGTCTGGTCGGGGGTGGGGGACAAGGGCTGCACATGCACAATAAACTATTCATATCCCATCATGCACTAGCATTAAAATAATCTCCATGCTAATTGTCTTTGCTTAAACCTTTGTTAGGGCAACTTAAGCTCCATTAGTCCCTCATTAAGTCCTGATTACTCGCATGAAATGGTTCATGAGGAAATTGGGCCAAAAATCCAAGATTTGGGCTCCAAATGGTGGGCCTGCCACGCTGCCGCACTTGGCCTGGGCGCTAGACCTCGCTGCTGGGCGCCGCCTGCTGGGCTGAGCGCGGGGTCTGTGTGGGCTACTCGTGTGGGACAAGCTTGGGCCGGGTATAAAGGGTTAGGAAGGGTTCTCAACACTTAGAAAAATTTTAGAAATAATGTGCTAAGTCTAGGACAAAGCCTTGGGCTCGGTGGCACATGGTTGGGCGCGGGTGCGGGTGCTTTGGCACGAGCGGCTCGGTTAAGTGCTATGCTCGATTATTAAATGTCCAAGGCTCGACTTTGATATTTTAATACACTTAGAAAAATATTCTAAGTATCAAAATACCAATTCTCGGCTATACTCGGGATTTACTAGAACAATGACTCGGAACAAACTAGGGTTCGAAGCCAAATAAATTCTCGAGTCGAATAGCTATAATTTAACAACCCAAATTAATGGATTAATCTTGACTTAAACTTGATATAGAATATTCCAAAGAATAATCTATTATATTTGAGCATTTAGCATATTACGAATTTCACTTATAGTCGAGCAGTGAAACCGTTCTTAATATTATTACTGATTTGGGGCGTTACAACCTATCCTCCTTAAAATATTTCCGTCCTCGGAAATACAAAACTAAGGTGCTAGGCCAGAACATCCTACTACAGAACTATATACATAAGAACATAAATAAAAGTACACAAGGTACAACTGATACAACTCAAAACTCGAAATCTGGATATTGAGCTCTGATCTCGGCCTCTCTCTCCCAAGTGGCTTCCGACTCGTCGTGGCGACTCCAGCAAACTTTGACGAGCTCTATATCTCTGCTCCTTAGCCGATGGACCTTTCGGTCCTGAACTGCAACCGGCTGCTCATCGTACGTCAGGTTCTGCCCGACCTCTAGCCCATCAAAGTTTACTACGTGGCTCGGATCGTACACATACTTTCTCAACATCGACACATGGAAGACGTTGTGTACACTCGCGAGCTCTGGGGGTAATGCCAGACGGTAGGCTATTACGCCAACTTGTTTGAGAATCTCGAATGGCCCTATGAATCGGGGCTGCAGCTTCCCCCTCTTCCCAAAACGTACAACACCCTTCATCGGCGTGACTTTCAGGAACACCTTGTCTCCCTGCTCGAACTCAAGCTCCCTTCTATGCTTGTTAGCGTAGGCCTTCTGTCGACTCTGTGCCTCTCTCAGCCTTGCTCGGATCTCGGCAACCTTCTGCACCGTGTTCTCGATCAACTTGGGACCGAGAACCTTCTTCTCGCCGACTTCATCCCAATAAAGGGGCGAGCGGCACTTGCACTCGTACAAAGCTTCGAACGGGCCATCTTGATCGACGAGTGATAGCTGTTGTTGTAGGCAAACTCCACAGTGGGTAGTAATTTCTCCCACAAACCACCTCGCTCTAGAACACAAGCTCGGAGCATGTCCTCAAGCGTCTGGATGGTCCGTTCCGACTGCCCGTCGGTCTGTGGGTGATAAGCGGAGCTAAACTTTAACTTCGTCCCCATGGACTCGTTCAGACTCTCCCAGAAATGGCCAGTAAACCGGAGATCACGATCTGATACAATCTCGGCAGGAACGCCATGAAGTTGAACGATTCTACGAAGGTATGTCTCGGCTAACTGCTCCATGGACATGTCCATCCTGACGGGTATAAAGTGGGCTGACTTCGTCAGCTGGTCCACTACAACCCATACTGCGTCGTGATGCTCGGGCGACATCGGTAATCCTGTGACAAAGTCCATGGTCAGCTTCTCCCACTTCCACTGCAGGATCGCTAAAGGCTGTAAGAGTACCGGTGGAACCTTGTGCTCGGCCTTCACTTGCTGGCAAACCAAGCACTTCTCGACAAACACGGCGACGTCTCGCTTCATCCCCTTCCACCAAAATGACCCTTTCAAGTCGTGATACATCTTGGTGCTACCAGGGTGCGCCAAGTATGGAGCACTGTGCGCCTCTGTCAAGATCTCCTTCTTCAGGGCCTCGACGTTTGGCACAACAATCCTTCTCTTGTACTCCAAGGCACCATCTGTAACTCGGTAAAAGCCCTCTACTCCTCCGGCATGAATCTTTGCCCCCATCAAGCGAACGAACTTGTCGAAGGCTTGATCCCGACAAATCCTGTCTCGTAGCGTGGGCCACACTCTCATAGCTCGAATACCTCCCACAACTGGCAACTTAGGAGGTGACTCGACCACTTCTAGCTGCATCCGAGCGAACTCATGAATCAACTGACGCTGCTGAGTGATCATACAGGTCACCTCGCCCTTTCCTTTACGGCTGAGGGCGTCGGCAACTACGTTCGCCTTGCCCGGATGATAGTTAATGGTACAGTCATAATCCTTCACCAGCTCTAACCATCGCCTTTGACGCATGTTGAGCTCTTTCTGGGTGAAGATATACTGTAGGCTCTTGTGGTCGGTATAAATCTTACATCTTCTGTTGTACAGATAATGCCTCCAAATCTTCAGGGCGTGAACCACTGCTGCCAACTCAAGGTCATGAGTCGGGTAGTTCTCCTTGTGCGGCTTTAGCTGTCGAGAAGCATTAGCCACAACCCTGCCTTCTTGCATCAGTACGCAGCCTAGACCCAACTTCGAGGCATCACTAAAAATAGCGAAACTCTGAGTGGGATTCGGTATAGTCAACACAGGCGGCGTCGTAAGCCTTCCTTTGAGCTCTTGAAAGCTCGCCTCACAACAGTCACTCCACTCGAACTTCACCGATTTCCTCGTCAATCAAGACAAGGGTAGTGCTATCCTGGAAAACCCTTCGATGAAACGCCTGTAATAGCCAGCTAATCCGAGGAAACTACGAACCTCGGTGGCATTCTTCGGTGCTGACCAGTTCTGAACTGCCTCGATCTTCGATGGGTCAACCTTTATTCCCCTCGCCGTAACAATGTGGCTAAGAAAAGCCACTCGATCAAGCCAGAATTCACATTTGGAGAACTTGGCATAAAGCCTCTCCCGTCTAAGAGCCTACAACACGATCCTCAAATGCTCCTCATGCTACTTCGGACTACGAGAATAGACCAAGATGTCATCTATGAATACGATAACAAACTGGTCTAGGAAGGGATGGGAAGACACGGTTCATGAGATCCATGAATACCGCAGTTGCATTGCTCAACCCGAACGGCATCACAACGAACTCATAGTGCCCGTATCGAGTTCTGAAAGCGATCTTGGCCACATCGGCCTCCTTGATTCTCAGCTGATGGTAACCAGAGCGGAGATCGATCTTGGAAAACACTCTGGCACCCCTCAACTGATCGAACAGATCTTCTATCCTGGGAAGAGGATATTTGTTCTTCACCGTCAACCGATTTAGATCCCGATAGTCGATGCACATTCGCATGGTCCCATCCTTCTTCTTGACAAAGATGACAGGTGCTCCCCAGGGTGAAACACTCGGTCGAATGAAACCGAGCTTGAGTAGCTCCTGAATTTGGGATTTCAGCTCTTGCAACTCCTTCGGGGCCATTCGATAAGGTGCCTTCGAGACTGGTACTGCCCCTGGAACCAGATCAATCGTGAACTCCACTTGGCGATTTGGTGGTGCTCCAGGTAACTGCTCTAGAAAGACGTCGATCAAGTCGCGCACCACTGGTATGTCTCTGGGCGTCCGTTCCTCCGATGAGCCCCCGACGATGTTCACTAGGCAGCCCTGACAGTCCTCCTTTTGCAGATATTTGGTCGCTTTCGCCATTGAGATGACATGTGACAAGGTTCTAGCCTTCGTTTCGAAGAACGTGATTTACTCTCCCCCAATCATCTGAAGCGTCACCTCTCTGTCTCGGCATCGGATGTCCGCGTGGTACTTCGCCAACCAATCCATTCCGAGTATGAGGTTGAAGTCCCTCATCTCAATCACAAACGCATCGACCGCAAGAGTTTTTTCGCCAATATCAAGACTAAGGTCCTTGGCCAAAGAGTGCGTCACTATCTTTCTCCCTGAGGCTAGGTTGATCTCAAGGGGGTCGACAGTGCTTACTCCCTGGACATTTATAGCGTCGAGATACTTTGTGGAAACAAACGAATGGGTCGCTCCCGTGTCAAACAAGGCAAAGACTGGAACATTGAATAAAGATATCATGCCGGACATTGTACCTGGTTGCTCGGCTACCTCCGCCTGGTTAAGGGCGAAGATCTGGGCTGGTCCACCTCCAGGTCGGTTCTGGGCCTGCTGACGCTGCCCCTGTGGATTCTGTGCGCGGTCTGGGCAAACACGAATACCATGGTCGGGTCTACGACAGTGATAGCACACATTCTGACCAGCTAGGCACTCCCCACGGTGATTACGGCCGCAGGTGGCGCATGGTGGTACAACCTGACGGATAGGCTGCACAGCCTGAGTTGGGGATGGAGCTGGTGCTGGTGTTGGGCCTCTCGGTCCGTTCCTGCGATCATTACGACCCTTCCACTTCCTCTTGTTGGGTCGCTGTGCCTGCTGGAGCTGCGCCTGCTGAGGTGGCACTATCTGTGGTGGGGCTGGCTGAACTGGTAATGCCATTGGCTGGACTGGCTGCCTGACTGGGGCACGGACTCGGCTGGCCTCCACCACTATACTCTCAGCCATATGCTGGGCCCGAAAAACTGTCTCAGCATATGTCATGGGGCCCATGGCACTGATGATGTGACGGATCTCTCCACGTAGGCCTGCCTGGAAGCGCTTCGTCCTCTTCACCTCCGTGTCAACGAGGTTTAGCGCGAAGAAGGCGAGGTGGGAGAACTCGAGCTCTACTCGTCAACAGTCCAGCCGCTCTGCTCCAGATTCAGGAACTTTCTCTCCATCCTCTCAACGTAGTGATCTGGGTAATACTTCTCCCGGACTACCTCCTTCGCTCTCTCCCACGTGAGATTAGTCTTCTCCCCATGCCTCATGGCCCAGTAGGCATTCCACCAAAGTCCCGCATCCCCTGTCAACTGAAGCTGAGCACACATGACCTTGACTGGCTCGGGGCAACCCATGACCTCGAAGATAAGATCAAGGTTGCGCACCCATTCCTCAACTTGTCGAGGATCTCCCTGTCCGTTAAAAGTCGCTGGGTGAAACCCACGAAACTGTGCGACGCGCTGCCCCAGATCCTGCTCGGGAAATTGGGTCATGAGGAAATTGGGCCAAAAATCCAAGATTTGGGCTCCAAATGGTGGGCCTGCCTTGCTGCCGCACTGGGCCTGGGCGCTGGACCTCGCTGCTGGGCGCGGCCTGCTGGGCTGAGCGCGGGGTCTGTGCGGGCTGCTCGCGTGGGATAAGCTTGGGCCGGGTATAAGGGGTTAGGAAGGGTCCTCAACACTTAGAAAAATTTTAGAAATAATGTGCTAAGTCTAGGACAAAGCCTTGGGCTCGGTGGCACATGGTTGGGCGCGGGTGCGGGTGCTTTGGCACGAGCGGCTCAGTTAAGTGCTAGGCTCGATTATTAAATGTCCAAGGCTCGACTTTGATATTTTAATACACTTAGAAAAATATTCTAAGTATCAAAATACCAATTCTCGGCTATACTCGGGATTTACTAGAAAAATGACTCGGAACAAACTAGGGTTCGAAGCCAAATAAATTCTCGAGTCGAATAGCTATAATTTAACAACCCAAATTAATGGATTAATCTTGACTTAAACTTGATATAGAATATTCTAAAGAATAATTTATTATATTTGAGCATTTAGCATATAAAATATAACTCGGAAAATTTTGATAATTACGAATTTCACTTATAGTCGAGCAGTGAAACCGTTCTTAATATTATTACTGATTTGGGGCGTTACATCGAACGAGCCCCGAGAAGCGAAGACGAGCAGGCTGCCTATCCCCGGCGCACGCCACGCCCGCGTCACGGCGTGGCAACCCCCACGAGACCTGTTCAAAAAGCAGCTCCCAGCGCCGCGCCGTGAAGACCTCCGTGCCGCGACGATGCCCTGCCTCGCGCGCGACGACCCCATCCACCGCGCCGCGTCCATGCCTCACGCTGTGCAGCAGCCGCCCTCCACACCGCGGCAAGCCTCGCGTCGCGGCACCTGGACCCCTCCACTCAGATTTTTCCACAGATTTCTCCATATTTTGAGGCACTGAACATCATGAACGGAAATTAGGGACTTTTACCAAGATTCCCTCCATGTTTTGTAGCTTGAATGGTGGAGGAAAAAGATGGGAAAATCAATTATAAATGAGCTTGAGTTTTGATGAAGAAGGACAACCTACCCAGAAGGGTTCTTCCCCTCTGCTCACTCTCCTCTCATTCCCTATTTTCTTCTTTCGTTTTTCCTTTCTTCTTCATTTTCCTTTATTTTCTCTTATGGATGAAGTTTTGTAACTGGATTCAACATTGGGATTAATTGTAGTTCTCTCTTTAATTAATTCATGAAAAATGGTTAATTTAGGAGAAATGTTATGTTGTGTTAAATTTAAAATGTTTGGCTAATCCTTTAGCTAGGGTTAGGGGATAGTCATTCCGGTTTATTCTCGTTTATGTGCATGACGATAGCTCAATCTTTGAGAGTTGGTTTAATTTGGAATTGATAAAATCATGCTTGATAATTCGATATAATCTAAGAGTGACACTTAGAAAAATTTATTGATATAATCGAAGAATGACACTTCGATTTTTGTGATTTTGTTAAGTCTCAACTGTGTCCGAGTTCTAGTCTCCTGTGTTAGGAGTTTGTTGTCTTCCTTTTTGAAGGTGTTTTGGGTGTAGGTTGTTCCCTTGGATGTGTTAAGTCCGAAAAAATTTCGGTCCAAGTTTGTCCTGATCTTTTTAATGATCTTTGTGATGTCAGTTGACATTCATGCCGTACTCGTTATCTTGAGTTTTATATACTGTTATAGTTTTTTTTAAATAATAATAATAATAATAAATCTGTAGGATGAAAAGTAGTAGCAAATGATACTCGCATCTTTCTTCATACGTTCAAGACATCATCAATTAACTTCCACAAGCAACCTGAAGGTAATTTATTTTTTTTTTAGTATTAAGTTATAAAAAAATATTAAATTTTACTCGAAACAATAAATTTATCAACTTTGTCGATATTATTTAATTGATAAGAAAAATCCAAACTTACAAGAAAAATTAGCGCCACATGTGAAGATAAGATAACTTCACTCTGAATTTGAACATGAATTGCCATTTAATGTTGAGTCAACATTCAATCTACCTCACTCATCTCTTCAAAGTTCCACCGAAAACATGAACAAGAATGCCTTAGTTTAATATTGACACACAAATTGATTTGATAACGGCAACATTTGAGTTTATTCATCTGGATCATGTATCAACTCTGAAGAGAATTTGATATTTTAAGTGCACAAGAAACATCCAAAGTACATACATACTCAATGATAAACTACAAGATGAACCAAGTTTAAGTTCCGATCACACCAACTCAAGAGAAGCAAACAAACAATGTAATGAAAAAACAGTTGCAACAATATTACAAAGATGATTTGGAATACAAGACACCAATAACAAATGTGTTAATAGCATAACGATTGAAAAAATTCTTCAAAACAATAAATCCCCAACGTAGAATCAAACACCATACTCAAAAGCATATAAACAGAGACTCATTCATGGACCATGAGTCCCTACAACTTTACCACAATACCATTTTCATCAAAAAAAAAAAAAATATATATATATATAACAGCCATTTTCATCACGAAAAAACAGAAAGGAAAAAAAAATGTTGGAACCTCAGTCAGTTGGTCCTTGCACTATTCCTCCTTCCCCACCACTTCCTCTTAGCCCCATCACCCGACCCCACCCCTTCCTCAGTTCCCATCCTGTTTAGAATAAGCTTAGTCTCCCTCAGCCTCGACCCGTAATCCTTCTTCCACGCCTCGAACATCTGCTTCAGCCTCCGGAACTCCACGTCCGCATCCAAACCCGCCTTTGCCCGACCAGACTTCACCTCGACTAGGAACCTCGCGTCGTCCCCAAAAACCCGACTCCGCTGCTCGAACTCCTCCGTCAGCCGCCCGATCACGTCTCCGTCGCTGGCGTCCGACTCGCGGGGGGACCCGTTTGCGTCGAGGCCGAGGGATTTTTTGGCAATGGAAAGGCTCGACTGTAGGGAGATCATCTGCTTCTGCCAAACCTCTTCCATTGACTTCATCTTCAGCTCGTATTCGGACCAGCGGTCCTCGTACTGCTGAACCCTCTGCCGGAGGATGTCGTTTTCTTCTTCTTTTTCTCGAAGAGAGGCTTCGGCACGTAGGACCCGACGCTGGAGTTCGGCTAAGAAGGACGATTTCACGAGCACCTCCAAGGGCTCGTTTTCCTATTTTTTTCATTTTTTTGAAATACAGATGCACGATTGTTTAGTAAACTATGTTGAGCGAAAGAAAAAAAGTAGCTGGACCGAAACCAAAAAAAAAAAAAAAAAAAAAAAAAAAAATTGTATCCAAGCATGCTCTAAGTCTATTAAGCTACCTACAATATAATATGAGATCATCATCATACACAATTCCACAAGGTAATGACAGAATTTAGAGCCCTGAGTACCTTTCTGCCACCAAATTGCAGCAACCCTATGTCCCCCGAACACCTTCTGACCAACCACCCACGAATAACTGGGAAAGAGAAAATGGACAGGCAAAATAAATCTACCAATACCTCTCACAATTAAAAGCTATCAGGCATCAGTATGTACTGCTACAGTATATGAAAGGAAGATAAAAGAAAAACAATTTAATTTCCAGTAGCTCGATATCAAGAAGATTCACATAATACATTATATATTTTCGGTAAATATTTGTTGAAATGGATCCAGCTAGGAAGTCGTCATGGGTAAGCAATAGTACAGAGAATATAAACCTACATATCCAAGGGTGATCTACCACAGAACAATATGATACCTGATTGTATAACAGTAGATGCGTCGCTTAATCTTTGGAACTTTCTTTGGCAAATCCTGGATTTTATGCGTTTTTGGATATCTATAGCAGCTCTATGCCTCTGCAATAAGGCTGCATACTCTTTTCTTGTTTCTTCACCACGGACAACTGCATTTAATCTTCATGGCTCAGAATACTTTATCTAGGAAAAAGGTTCAGAGTTGCTAATCCACGAATGCTTACAAGACTGAAGAGTCACAATGCCTCTCCTAAACTCCTTCAGATAACAGCGAGCTTTATGACCCCTAAAGACACTTTGCAAGCGCAAGATACCGTGAAGAGTACGATTTCTTGTATCTTCAAGAACTCCAATCTACATAACTCACCAAAAAACAAATTAGTTATCCAGAAATAATGACCTGAAACAGCAAGTCCTAAATTACTGCAAATTGTCTTATTTAGTTCGTGCTATAAAATATTCACATGAAGACATAGTTTGTTAAATTAATAAATCTCAGTATTTCCGCATGCATACAGAGATAGCGAAACGGAGAACATGAGAAGAAGTAAAACAATTAAAAAAATAACATTCCCGTGAAAGTCCCAGCAGCTATTTAGCTCTTCTATGGTAGCTACAAATGGATTTTTTTTTTTTTTTAGTGAATGAACAAGAAAAACACAAAAATTCAAATTATTAATATTAATTTAATTTGAAGTTGAACCTCAGTTTCGCAGACATTGAAATCCACTTTTATTCTCTTTCATCCTGCATTCTAAAGTAAAACGAGAATGGGAAGAGGGTGGCGATGAGTTGCGACTTGAGTGCATTTTGACTGTATCTAAAACCTTCTTTATTCCTTATGATTTAAATAATTAGAATGAAAGGAAGGCAATCAATTTTGGGTCATTTAATATTATGATCCAGGTTAAATGATAGGGTACTCTTCTCACAGAGTGCACTTTGCCATGTTGCATAAATACTTTTAGGTTAAGGATCATCAGACACATCAATATGTCTTGTGAGAAGTTTGAGCTCCTCCAAATATATCTTTAGCTGAATTTAAATTCTGATGGTTTTGTATAGCATGGCTAATGAGTAGTCAGGAAATTTTTGGTTCAGACACTTCCATTTAAGTACACGCTCTCTAGTTAGCATGTAACAATGTTTTCAAACATCAATATGTACTGAAGAGTACTTACCAGTCATGCTTTTGCAATTGACGGTTAAGTCATTTTAATACGAACGATATATGTACTTTGTTATAGGCCACTCTATTAAATTATTATATAGGCTTTGTTTGGCTGTTAGATAGCGGATAGCTGATGGTATTAGTGAATAGCTGATAGCTTGTTGTATTAGTGGATTTGACTAGTGGATTCAATTAGCAGTTTGTCAAGAAAGTATTTAATAAATAGCAAAAATTTATAGCTATTACGTTGTATTGCCCTTTTTTTAATTTACTTATTCCCAAAACGCTGCTCTTCTGATCTTTTTCATAATTAGCATTTTGGGTCCAAAAAACTAATCACATAAGCTCTTTACCAAACAAGATAATTAGCGAATTTGATTGGTCAATCACCTAAATGAGGTTCAACCCAGTAATTAACACCAATCCACTAACAAACAAATGAGTCCATTATCTAAAATTAATCTAGTTGGCTTCAGGCTCATAGGGTTAAGGTGTCCTCCATTAGTTATTTTTTAAGGTTAGTATTCTATTTAAGAGTCTTTAGTCTTTTGTATAGAACACATCAGAATACCATTACTTGTTGGCTTTTAGCATGGGTGGGAGTTTATTTCCTATGTAATAATATTTTGTTATCTACATCGACCCTTTACTCCATAACAGGCTGGAACCCATCTTCTTGTCCAAACGGAACTTATTTTCTTCACCAACTACTAATTAGACTATTCAGGTACGTTAACACAATGAACCCTAGGCTATAAAATGACAAACAACAAAAATTGCAGGCATATGCATATGGACATCGTTTGCTCGATCTGCTTCTTCATTGAAAATCAACAGAATAGAGCATATACAAGATTCTCACCTGCCCTGCTCGAAAAAACAGTTTTGTGTAGCCAACTTGATACATCTCAGGCAGAATGTTAAACTGATGAAGAATTGCTACTGATACACTGAGTGGTTCCTGTGATGAAACATGGTCTAATAGAAGAAAACCATACCTAGAGAAGGAAGCCAGGTTAAATGGCAGCCATTCAAAGATACAAGATATAATACTCAAATCAATAACTGATTTTACTTCACCTTCTAGCAAATTTCTGATGTGACATTCTTGTCGGAAAACCAGATCTTGATATTCTGACAACTTCTAACACCCCACAGCACCTTAGCTGTTGCAGTACCAGCTCTTGACTGTAGCTTCCAGGGGACTGGAAGTTGTTGGGCTTTATACAGCGAATGAAATGTGGTGTTGTGTTCTCAAGACGTTTCATTAATTGGAATAATTGGCCCTGACAATCAAAAGTGATACGACGAAACTAAATGACCAGACATCAATACAGAAAGAACTTGCTTGAGGAAGCATTATACAAATTCAAAATCCCACTCATGCCTTCCAATCTCAAAGAAGATCAACACATACGGGGGTGGTGAACTATGACGACCATCCATCTAGGTTCACAAAGCAGGAAATCTTAGTTTTATTTCATGATCTAGAGGAATCTGATACCCAAGTGATTAACTTTTAAATTGATGCAGTGAAAGCTCACAATATAACTGAGACATTTGGACTCTAGAAATAAAGCCTAATAGGCAATCATAAATCTGACAGCTGATTATTTATGTGAAATTTCTTGCAATAAAAAGTTAGCCTACTAGACGATGTACAAAATAATACAATCAGTGGCCATTATTACATGCATTTATAGGTTAATAGCCAGACAATTGGGTTTGCTATAATGTAAGTGTTTAGCTAGAAAGTAAGATTCACCTCTTCAGACTTCGAAGAGGTAGCACCTATGACTATGTTCACTGCAGAATGCATATACTGCACATACAACGGAAGATCCAAAGGAACTCATATTCATATTTGAACACAAATTCAACTACTAAATGCCACTAAATTCATTATTATTGTTTATATTTTGGAAAATTAGTTGAAGACATAAACAACAAACATCTTTGGCACAAAACTGGCATATTGATCCCAACATGATTACTAGAACTTTAAAAAGATTCTATCTTCATGATACTTAGAGAATGACAACTTAATCTTACCTTGAACTTTGTCGTAACACTTAATTTTTGTGAATCCGCTCCACCAGATTTATACAATGCACCTACTACAGGCTTCTCAGATTGAGTGAGCATACTGGAGGCAAAAGCCTGAGGAAGGTGGCATGTGCAAGAAGACAGAAGTTGAATCGAATCTAAATGAAGTGAATCCCGATTCTTCTCTAAAAACCCTGTAGTGTCATAGGTAACCTGAGATGGCAACAAATTGATTACATACTCCCGTAAGAAGGGTAGAAAGAAAAATTGCATATATCAAGTAATAAAAGTAAAAATCAACTGAAAGTGATATCTTGATTCTGTCCATGTTGATCAGAAGCTTTTCAGAGTATCTGTATACAAGAACCCATCAAGCATAAACCTTATATGCACAGATTAACCATTTAAACATTTATTCAGCCTTCTAATATTCCATTCCCAATCCAATGAACTACGGCCCTTATCAATAAAGTAAGCCATAACCAACACTCATCCTTCAATATGTTCAGAGAACAATAGAGCCCAAAAGATGATGTTTTGATTTTGTTTTGGGTTTCTGGGGCAAGTCTTCGAGGAAAGAATGTGCTTTGGCGCCGTGCATTAGAAAATACTGTGTACTACTAGAAAAGTGCAATGGATAATTAATTATGTATGATATTGTTTTGAGGAAGAGTAGGGGTAAGATCGTTTATAAGGAATATATCCACATAAAGGTTTGAATTTACGAGGTAAAACCAAATAAACTGCAAGGGCATGCTCATGGCATTTGCATACAAGTTTATGAACCTTTTAGTTCCCCAGCAATTTAGATTACCCATTTTTTTTTTCTATCGCTGAAAGAGTAAAATACGGCTGCATGCGTTTCACAGAAGCTATCAATATATAGTCATAGAAAACTTAAGATAATAGTTTATACCTCTCCAGCATAATGGCACACAGTAAAGGCTTTCTCTCTTTCTCCTCTAAAACAGGGGTTGGAGTTCAGGTGTTGCCTGAGCTTATTGGCAAAGCTCAAATCTGTGCCATTTGGAAAAGTTGATTCCTCATCCAGCAAGGATTGCAACCCTAATGGTTTCTGCTCAGGTACAAGTCAATCACTAATTTCAATATCTAAAAACTAGCCACGTGGACAAACTTATGAACATGGTAAATATATCAATTTAACACCAAGGACTAGTGGAAATACTGCATACTACATACTGAAAGTGCAAGGATTTCTCAATGCCTAGACAAATTGTATTGCAGATAGATCCAAACTATAAAATTCTCACGAAACAAGAAACAAAAAAAAAAAAAAAAAAAAAAAAAAAATGTTCCCAGATTTAAACAATGAATTTAGATACACAGGGAAGAACTGTTAAAGGATATCCAACGGACACAGCACATTAGATCACATTAACATCAAGCAAATGTTAAAGGTCAACGATTCAACACTCAGCACGGACGGCTTTGAGTCTGTCAGTTGCACATAATGTAGAAAAAATTGACTTTATTACCTTCTCAAAGAGATTAAGACAATCTTGATTGTCTTCAAAATCAACTTTTGCCCAATCAATGCCATCTTGAATGTATTCCTGAGAAGACAAAATATAAGAACTTGAACAATTAACTTAGCTAATGTTGATTTAGCATTAATGACATCCAAACCAAAATAATGGCTTATTCAACATATGTTATGCTCTAAATAAAATTGAAGGGATAATTGGAGAATTACCATTCATTTGGTTGAATCAGTAATATTGATTTACCGGTCAACATGATAAAAGCAGTCATTTTAAAGTCATTCTGGATAATGTATTGACATTTCATGAGTCATTATAGCATTTGTACGCTTTCAAGCCTTAATCTTAAAGTTTGTATTCATTTACAACTAAACCAGCATACCATTAGTTAGGTCTCACTTGGGTGCTAACCAAGCTGATTCTCCGTGTTATGTGATTATGTAAAAGATAATAGAGAGATGATTTGATAAACTGATTTATTGATCACACGTCAAAATGATGAGACGTGGGGAATTATGTACAGAATCTCAACACATAATAGCTTTGCAGCTCACTTTACTATCTTGCTAATTGACTAGCTAGCTATAAGTGATTAACCCTTATCTCTACATCCGTGTAGAGTTCACTATAGCAATGTAAAAGGAAAATTTAGAGCATGTTTGTTTATAGTAATTTTAAAAAAAATTCCAACATTTTAACTCAACCACTTTTTTTAACTCAACCCGCTATCATCAATATTATAAATATAATTAAATAATATCAATCAATCATTCATACACACCACATCAACTTTAATTCACTATTCATCCACTCACATTATTTTAACTAACCATCACTTCAAATCATCTCTCTCCTACTTTTACATTAAATCAATTTTAATTATTTTATTTTAAATATTATTTTAATATACCCACTAACAACTAACTATACCACCTTTTTCAAAATTAACCCAACTAAACCAAAATATCCAAACAAAACAAAAATTTCTATAAACTAACATGCTCCTAGTCTCCAACCGCTCGCTCTAGAAGTATTCTCCTTTTATTCTCACTATTTTGAATTAGTTTTGAAGTCAAAATATAATCTAATTGGATATATTATTTTACACATATTTAATTATTTAAAATTGTCCTTATATGATCAACAAAAATATATTTAGATACAACAATATTTATATAAAGGTAAACTAAGATATTTATCAAGTATTTACAAAAATACTAACCAATAAAAATATATTTAGATACAACAATATTTATATAAGGATAAACTAAGATATTTATCAAGTATTTACAAAAATATTAACCAAGATTGAAGTGCAAATTTAGTTTGTAATCTAAGTACTATAACACGATTCCTTATTTCACTCTTAGTCGTATGATTCTTATCCAAAAAAATGTACATAAATTTTATTCCATATAAATAAAGTAAGTTTTAGTATAACAACTCCAATACAAAAATCAAATAAAAGAAAACAATAAAACGAAAGAAACTAAAAATGTAGATGAACACAAATATATATATATATATAAATATATATATATATATATAAATATATATATATATATATATATATATTTCTTTCACTAATTTTATTGAACACTGTTGTGTCATATCTGGTGTTGCAGTTTTCATTCATTCAGAATGGCACCAATAATAGGTGCGGGGTTGGAACCAAAATCATAAGAATTGTGGCATAACACGCAGAACCAAAACATAGTTAGTGTAACTCTAACTAAATTAGCTAATTGTACAATTAGTTGACTAAGAGAAACAAACTTTAACTAGCAGCAAGAATACTCTTACCACTCCAAAAACATCGTCATGAGATATTCCATAATAACATTTCTACAGAAGACCTAAAAATAAGATCCTTTAAAAGTGCATAATTGACCTAAGGGCTAAGTTAGAAGAACTCATACTTGAAACCAAACTCATTATATATTCATCAAACTTAATGCAGAGATAGTGTCAAGAAGTTTGGAGTTGCTCCTCAAAACAAGCACTCACAAGCAAACTTCCAGCTTACTTTCCAATCCTAAGCTAGCTCTAGATTTATGTAGATTATGGTAGTAAATCACAGGGTTGTCAAAAGCATCAGTTACATTCAAGAAAGTTAAGAGTAACCCTCCACTTATCCCTGTAAAGATATATGCAACAATTTCAGATTTTTGAATATGACAAAGATGCTAAGATTTACGACTTGGGTAAGCATTCATTGCTAGCAGATAAACAACAAAATCAGCACATAAGCACCAATTTTTCTAAAATTATGAAACACAAAATGAATCAGAATATGAAATAGTCACCTCTTGCTCCAATTTGAACAAGTGACGGTTGAAGTGTTGTTGTAATCTTTCATTGGCATAATTGATGCAGAATTGCTCAAAACTATTCCTCTAAAGAAAAATTTAATGGGTAAGCACAATGAAAAAGGGAAGAGATGCTGGAGAGTTGAAACAAGTTTGGATAAGGACACACCTCAAATGATTCAAAACCATAAATATCAAGAATACTAATGGATCTTCCAGTGCGCCTTTTGCCTACTGATAGTGATTTATTGATTTGTTCAACTAGCCAGTCAAACAAACAAGAATAGATTGATTTTGCCAAAGCATCCCTTGTATCAATTGCCTGAAAAGAGTATTGTTCATACTTAATAAAACCTTTATAATAATTACTGCTTACAAAGCCATAAGAGCTCAGTACAATGCCTAAAATATAATTGATCCATATGAATTCTCTAACCTGAGCTAGCGTAAGCTTTTGCACAATTGTATCATTTCCTACTCTCATTTTTCGAGTTGATAAAGCTAGCTTTAGCTCCCAAATGTTGCACTCAATCAGTGTAGCAACGTTGATTAGACCTGAAAATTGCAGACATCATGAAAAGCTCATGCTTTTTCAGGAATTGGGCCCATATGTTTTATATTATATCATTAACGCAAGAATTGATTTTTGAAATTGTGGACTAGGTACCTAGCAAGTTGCTAGTGTGTTCCAAACGTATCACAGAATCATTTGAAGGAGACACAATTAAGCCAAAAAGGGAGCAAAAAAGAAGGAAGGAAGAGAAAAAAGTAAAATAAAGAAAATCTCATGGGTCTTTGTCAACACCCGACCACCTCAAACAAAACTTACAAATTCTGTAATTGGAAGATGGGATTGATGCAAAATCTATATCACAAGTCATGGTGTTATCGACATAATAAAGTAATTCTTGCCAATACATAACAATAAACTGCACTAGGGATGAACTGAAAACGACAAACCAACTATGTAAAGTTTATTTTCTTCCAGAAGATGTGAAATACACAACCATAATTACTTAATCAAGCAAATATTACATAAGCATTTCCACGTGGTTTCTTTTTGTTTGCTCACCAAGAAATATTCTCACCTTCATCCTCCACAGGTTCAACATGATTTTCAGTATCTATCACCATAAAGGAAACATTTCCCAACCATAGTACAGCAGCTAACATCGCGAAAACACTTTCTTGGTCTTCTTTTTTAATATGGACAATACCTAAAGCTTCCTGAGTTCAGAAGAAGATTTGATGGCTAAGTTTATCTAGTCAACCATAGTCAAGTATGGAACAATAAAGTTGGAAACAATGGTATTTGATCTCTACCATGACAATACGAAACTGTTCAGCATCATCAACCCCATAAATCGTAGAGCAGTTACTTTGGCTCAAATACTTGAACTCGTCTGCATTCTTTAATCTCAATTTTTCTGATTAAAACAAACACAGTGAATGTATAATCAATACCAAGACAGATGGCAGAAATATGGATATGTAGATATACACATATGCATATTGATAAGCTGTATACGCATAATTGACCATGGAAAGATCTAGCAGATCTTTACAAAACATCCTTATCGGATAACTAAGTGCAAGAAGCACCAGGTCAAGAAAAAAGACAGGATACTATTGCAAAAGCTGCAAGATTTTTTATCATAACAGACTAAGTATTGGATGACGGTTGCATCAACACGATACCTCTAAGGACAGGTGGAGCTCCAGCACAGAGCTGATAAAAGATATGATATGATCTTTCTCCGTCTGTACATTGAACAACTCTGGACTGATCATGGAACAGACTGTCAGATATTTTTATCAAATTAAAAATGGTCATTATACCAATATCACCCAGTAGGAAGTAGAAAAATACCTTCTCAAGTAGAACTATAGAAATAATGGACCGTCCCGGGTGACAGAAGACAAAATAAACAATTCATCAGTCTATGTAATTCAACAGTAAACAATAATTTTGACTGCAAGACCTTTTATTATGGAAGCAATCTTACAAGTTTGAATCCTGGCGCCCGATATTTTTCCAATTTCACTGAAGTGAATTTCAATCAACTTTCCCTGCAGACAGGATAGGTTGTAATTGTATTACAATAAATTAGCAGTACAACCGTAGCTAATCACTACAAGCCAATATAGAATTAGAAAGGAGGAAAGCTAGAATCAACTTACAAAGCGACTTGAGTTGTCATTTCGTAATGTTTTGGCATTACCAAAGGCTTCCAGAATTGGATTTGTCTTCAGTATTTCATATTCTATCCCGCTACCACCTCCCAGAGCAGCCAAATATTGCATTGCAATTTTTGCTGTCTCAGTTTTCCCAGCTCCACTTTCGCCACTGGATAAAAATTAATAGAACCACACTCCATCACATTGATTTGATCACAATACCAAAAGAACACTCAAGTTTTGAGCTCCTAAAGAAATTAATTATGAGATCCACATCCACAGATCCTATAGACCTACAGAAACTAATGGTTTTTCCCTAGAACTGCCTCAATAACAATATGAAAGTCAGCCACGTTTTCGCACAATAAAACAATCTTGTTGGGTTGCTGATCCGAATTGTGGAAATTTGGCTTTCGGATCATCTTATTAAACACTGATGCTAAAGACAAGTATTATAGAAAAAATTAATAAAAGAGTTTCTTATCAAGTTTAGCTCATGAAAATCCATTCTGCATCAATACAAAACTTTTTCTGCAAATGATGGTTTACATGATTTGACTTCAACCACATTTGTTTTAGAAAGAAAAAAGTGATTCCGCCTTTTATTTCAGTATTCACAAGTTGAAATTGATTAAACTTTTATTGGAAAAAATACCTAAACATATCATTAGTAATGCATTTGGTGCCTTGACAAGAGTTTAAAATTCTCAGTCTTTACCTGTTCTTGTTGAGCCAAGGACTAAAACCAGCCTAAGATAACAAAATGACTATTCTTTGGATTCAACATTAAGCAGTATGAAAAATGAGCTAGAATGCAAAGAACAAAATTGAAACTTGAAAGTTGAAAGTTCATAATACAATTGGCTTATCACAAAGCCAGGAGAAATGAACATCATACCCACAAACGTTTCAAGTTTAACGAAGCATAGATCCATCATAGTTCAGATAAATAAAGGTCATTGGATTGTTGTAGTCTAAATAACTTTGCTTTCGTAGAATACACTAAAAAGGGCCGATAGAAAGAAGAACTTCGGACTTCAAACTCATTTTGCTAACCTTATGATGATGGATTGATTTACTTCATCTACAAGAAAAACAAACCACACTTAGTTACAAGAAGTAGAGTTCATCATTGGACTGGAGATAAAAGTCATATGTGCAAGTCAATGACCTCGGATCATTTCACGCATAGCTGTATCAGTGATAGCATACACATGTGGGCTCTCCATAGATTTGCGCTTATAAGCATCAATATAATCATTACCATATAAGCGCACTTTCTTAAAGGGATTAATGGCAACCAGGACAGGACCTGCTTTGGTCTGACATGAGCAGCGAATCAGAAACCATGTAGAAAAATCAACAAAACTGAGAATCTGATAGAGGTTCAAAATGAAGATGCACACTTACATATATCATATCGCGATCATATCTATACTGGAGATTGTATAAAACTGAAGGTTCATTTAAGTAACTCAATTGCATAAGATCATCCACACCATCAAGTATATCAGGGTTTGCAGGAACCAGAAACTTTGCATTCACTTTCAGAACCTAGATACAAGAAAAGCTTAGAGAAGGCGGTAAATTAACTGCTCTCACAAACAGAGAAAAAAAAAAAAAAATAGAAAAAAAAAAAAAAAGATTAAAAAAATGAACCAGAACTGCCAAACTATTGCTCACTTTTCCCTCAGCCAAAGATATCAGTGCCTCATTTCCAGATGTCTGAAGAATAGTCCCCAGCTCCCATTTCCCATCAGGAAGCTGATACCATGACTGAAGCTTCTGAAAAACACACACATAATAAATTATGCATTAATTTCAATGATAAGTAGATATGTTATATGGCTAAGATGATGGATCACATGGCTTTGATAGTTAACGTCATATAAGATGATTTTCTAACAAATAAGTTGTTTCCTCATGCTCAGAAAATTTGAGCTACATGAGCTTGTAAGCCTTCTTTCGGTAATTTACATTGCGTCCATTGGTATGCAACAACATCAAGCAAGCAACCAGATGACAGTAAACTATAAAGACTACAACACAGCACATTTTCACATATTAAGATGCAATTCCAGCTGAAATTGGACATAAAGAGATCAAATTTATGATAGTAATTTCAAAAATATATTACGATCATTTGTCCAATCTAGACAAGGAAGAAGACACGTTAGAAGTGCATGACAGAGTATATTAGATTAGTCAACCACATTACCTTCTTTGAGGCGTATGGAGTCGTGTCACTCCACTTAGAGTCAGCATGCGACTGTTTAATCGACTGGATGGGAGTATTCATAGCATATGCATCATCGCCATTGTTGCTCAATGAAGCCCCAACTTTTACTGGCATGCCCAAATTACGATACGGTGATTCATCACTATCCAAACTAACATCACTCGGTAAAAGAACATTTCCAGATGCATTATCGGATAACATGATCCCATCATTCTTAGAGTAACCCCCAACAGACCCTAAATCTGCAGGCAGTGACCTGATAGACTGAAAAGATGGACCCTTTACTTTATCCTGTGCCATTTGTCCTCACATCAAAGCTATCTTTTTTCTTCGATTGGCTTCAACTCAATTGATTACACTTACGAAAGTAGAATTGGATTAAAATCTAAACCCAAATAAAAACTCTGGCTTAGTGAACGACTCTATAACCAACAACGGTAAGTGACTCTCTCAATTACAAGCCACGCACAATCCACATTTTCAGTAACACACAATCGATCCCACTTGCCAGTTATCCCCAGAAAAACTATATATAATGAATATTTTTAAAAACGAAAAAGGAGGGGAAAAATTATCCAAGTTTTATAGAAAAACGCACTTGATTTCTTCAAATAAATACTTAAATGCGTCACTTATCGAAATCCAGCCGGCTAAAAGCTTCAGCAGAACCCTAGAGCACAAACTCGAGAAGGGGAAAAAACGGAGAAAACAATAAACGAAAAAAGAGGGAAGATGGAGGAAGGTACGACGAGATGGTAAAGAGAACAACAGCTGAGTAAATACCGATCGATCGCTTCCAGCTTATAGATCAGAAAATAAGTGAGAGATCACAGAAAGCAGGGCAAATAAGCAACAAGAAAGGAAAATGAGAAAATATGGTAAAATAGAAAAGAGAAAACCTCCAGCCAAACTGTGTGGAGAACAGCAAAAATCAGTGAGTAGTAACTTTCGCTTTTCCTTTTCTCTTTTAATGGGGGACTGCTGTTTCCTTGATGTGGCAAATACCCACCATTTCTTTTTTCAAATAAATTTCAAACCATCTTTCTCCATTTTTTATGGGGAGGGAAAAACATTACTGTTTGTTTAAGCAATAAATCATAATATCCGGTTTAGGAATATCGTGAGCCACCACTGTCCGTTCAGCTCTTTTTATTGGATAGTCTTGTACTACTTTGTGCAAACGCATGTGATATCTAAAAAACTATTATTAATCATATGACATGTATATTATATTTAACATATGACATGTATATTATATTTAAAATAATAAGTTACTAGTACAATACTTGTGTATTACACGGGTGTTGAATTAGAAAACTTTTGTAAATTTTTTTATTTTTTTAAAAAATTAAAATAATTTATTTTTATATAAAACATTACTTTGGGTTTTAATTAAATTGTCAAATTGTATTTTTTTAATTATAAAATTAAACACCCGTACATTAATTGAAAATGTCAACCCGTGTTGAATTTTTTACTTATATCATATAAAAATATCAAAATTATTTACTATTAAATAAGTACAAAAATATATATCTTAAATAAATAGAAATAATATGGTGATATGTATATGAATATATTTATTTAACATTAAAATAAATAGATTAATTTTTTTACTTAATTAGATACCTAATACATCAAGTGTCGTATCAGTCGTGTTTCACAGTTTTTTTTTAACTTTATATGTAATTTTAGAATTTATATAAATAATTATTTATTTTTATTACATTGACAACATACCAATTAGATTTGAAATAAATATTATTTTTAAAAGAATACATACCAATTTCTATAACTTTATAATATAATTTATAGTTTTATTTGATATAATTTAATTTAGTTTGATAAATAAATTTAAATTTTATTCATAAGGATATATATTACTGTTTTGTATTATATATATATATATATAAATAAATAGTAAAATACAAATGAATATAATTTATTTATTTTATATATACGATATGAATGTCAAATCGAAGCTCATCAAAAGATGATTAATTTGATATATTATAAATGTAAAAGCGATAAGAAATACAAAAGTTATCAACTTTTAAAATATATTTTCAATTCAATGGTTATAATAGGAAACGATATTAAAATACAATTAATATAAATATTAATTTATATCCAAGCCTAACTCCAAAGCATGATTTTTTGCCAAATAGGATTCCGAAGCATGAGAGTTTGCCACGTAGGCCATTGCATTCTGAAATTATATATAGAGGGGATATAACGGAAGTATCACACTCAATAAATTTAATAATTAGTTAAAATAAAAAATATAATTATAAATCACATAAAATATAATGAATAATGTAGTTTTTAGAAATTTAAAGTGCAATTAATTAGTTAATAGAATGTTAAATTATTATTATTATTATCCCCTCTATATATAATTTCAGAATTCGCCGAGCCTACGGGACAAATTCTCATGCTTCAAAATCTTATTTGGCAAAAAATTATGCTTTGGAGTTAGGCTTGGATATAAATTAATATTTATATTAATTGTATTTTAATATCATTTCCTATTATAACCATTGAATTGCAAATATATTTTAAAAGTTGTTTACTTTTGTATTTCTTATCGGTTTTACATATATAATATATCAAATTAATCATCTTTTGATGAGCATCGATTTGACATCCATATTGTATATATAAAATAAATAAATTATATTTATCTTTATAACAATAATAAAATTATTTATTAAAATTAGTTAGAAAATAAAATTATTTATCAATTAATATATTTATGTTTAATGTAGTTATAGGTTATAAAGTAGAAAATTTATTATAATATAACACATATAAGTCACACAAATAACATGTGTCATACTAAAATATATAATAATATATACTTCCTCCTATTTTTATTATTTGTCGCTTTGGTTTAATTGATCATTGTTAAAATAAATGTCGTTTTAGATATTTTGTTCATATTTTTCTATTTTAACCCTCCATCTAATACACAGTGTCTCTTCATATCTCATGTCCATCGTTTCCCATAACATCCATTAAATATGGTTAATATTGTCAAGAAAAAAAAATCTTAATTAGTGTCTTGCATTTTAATTGATATTATGAAGTCCGTTTGTATTTTAATATTTATTTATATATATATATATATATATATATATATGAAATACTTTTATCTATGAATTAGGCCTATTAGTAATATATTAATAATAAGGATATAAAATACTTTTATCTATGAATAGATACAAAACAGTAATATATATCGTTATAGATAAAATTTAAATTTATTTATCAAACTAATAAATTATATCAAATAAAACTATAAATTATATTATAAAGTAATAGAAATTAGTATGTATTCGTTTAAAATGATATTTATCTCAAATTTAATTAATATGTTGTCAATGTAATAAAAATAAATAATTATTATATAAATTCTAAAATGACATATAAAGTTAAAAAACCGTGAAGCACGACTGATACGACACTTGATGTATTAGGCATCTAATTAAGTAAAAAAAATTAATCTATATTGCTTAATATTAAATAAACATATTCTACACGTATGCATATACATATCATCATAATATTTTTATTTTCTTAAGATATATATTTTTGTACTTATATAATAGTAAATAATATCGATATTTTTATATGATATAAGAAATAAATTCAACACGAGTTGACATTTTCATTTAATGTACGGTTGTTTAATTATTATGATTAAAAAAATATAATTTGACAATTTAATTAAAACTCAAAGTAATGTTTTATATAAAATTAAATTATTTTAGTTTTTAAAAAATAAAAAATTTAATATTTTTTACAAAAACTTTCTAATTCAACACCCGTGTAATACACGGGTATTGTACTAGTTATTATTATAGCCATTGTTCGCTTAGTTTTAAAGGGTTTTCTATGCCATTAAAACAAATTAGTTATCTGTAAATCTTTAATGAGATAAAAATAAAACTAGTGAGAGTCCCGTGCGATGCACGGGATTTTCGTACTTTAGAACTTTTCTTTTAAGATTTTATTTTCACAATATATTAGCATGCTAATCCGTTTATATTATTATATAAATAATATTTTAACATATATATTTATTTTTAATACAAAATAATAATAATTTTACATATTTTGGTTCACCATAATACTCAATTGTTAATCTATCAAAAAATCTATTATCATATAATGTCATTATTATTTATAACACTTGTAGAAGTAATATATTTGTTATATAATGATAAATGTGTAATATATATTAATATTATTTATTGATGTAATTAATTTAAAAAGATATAAGCAAATTTAATGTTTGGTAGAAATGTGATTATATGTAAGTTGAGATAAATTGAAATGTATCAAAAAAATCTGCTTATGATATTTTCCTCTAAATGTTTGAATGAATTTGAAATTGAAATTACAAATCAACTTCCAATTATTCAAATAATTTTAAAAAAGTTACCAATTGTAATAAAATGTACGTGACAATATATTATCAATATACATGACGTCAGTAATGTTATGAATCTTTAAGTTCCTAAAATATATATTGTTTAGATATGAAACTAATTAACTTATATGTTAAGATAATATATATAAATATATGTGTTGTACGAAATATACACGTGACAAGTTATTATATTTGTTTATATATTGTTTGTATATTTGTTTGTATTGTTTACAATATTTGTTTATTATGTTTGTATATAAATATATCGTTTATATATTTGTCTGTATTGTACGACAAATTATTATATTTGTTTATATATTGTTTAAATATATATTGTTTAGATATGAAACTAATTAACCTATATGTTAAGATAATATATATAAATATATGTATTGTATGAAATCTTTAACGTGTTTGTTAAATTTTTCCCCTAAAAAATTCAAAATACATTTATGCATGTTTTGTTTGAAGTTTGAAATTCAAATATGCATCTATATAACAAATCCAATGATTTGTGCTAGCATTAAATGCTAATTGATTTTTTATTAAAAAAATTAGAAAAACATACCAAAAATGGAATGTAATTAATATTTCCTATTTTTTTGCTTACTATTTTTGAAAAATGTTAATTCTTATTATATATATATAGATGATAATATTTTTTTTTAATAAATACTTCCATGTATCTTTTGATGTGAATTTATAATTGTTTAACATAATAGTGATACTATTTTTATGTATCTCTTCAGGCCCTTCTTTGTTGGTGCCCAGCCTCGCTGCCGCCACTTTCAGAGGACCGGCGTCATCGCCACCGTCATTCGAGGAAATAGTTGCACGTGTGGTTTCCGTTCTCATGGCCTCATTCCCGGAGTTATCCGTCTCGCCTTCGTCGGCCATCTCTCGCCGGACTGCCACCTTCGAACGGACCCCCCCTTACCGAAAACTTCGCAGGTGTTTCTTCCGCCGTTCATCGGACCTCTGTGGGGTTCGACTCTGCACTTCTGCAGCCACCGCATTGGTTGGTCAACAGGCATTTATCCCCAATTGCGTTTTATCCTCTGGCCAGGGTTTGAGAGGCACGGTGTCGACGTGGCCTCTTCTCTGCCAAAGTGCCAAGTGATCTCTTATCTCACTTGGGCCACTTGGGCCACGTGCCCTTGGATAGGCCCAACGCCCAAAGGTTGTAGATCACCAGGTAATTATTGGGCCTTCTATTTCTTTTGCCACTTTGGGCCAACTTCCTAGGCCCAGCAAACCAGCTCTCTACCTCGATCCCTCAACCCTCAACCAAAGCCCAACCCACCCTTTTTAAGCCCAAACTCACTAACCCTCAACCCAGTCAAGCCTCTCACCCCATCCCAAGCCCACACTCGCATCTCAAACACATCCCTCCTCACAGCCCGCTAACTCAACCCAGCCTATCACCATACAACATCCCACTATACCACCATCTCAGCCTACACAGTTAAACCTCTCTCCCATCCCAGCCCTCTCCCAACCCCCAACTCGTCTCTTCAGCACCTTCCCACCCCTTTTTCCTCCAACCCACTAAAACCACAATACAACCCACAACCCAAATCCTTCCAAACCCACGACCCATTTCACCATTTCCTTCATCCTCCTTTACACTCGCCCAACAATCTATATCACCCACATACTC